CCTTATGTATTTATACATGTTGATCATATCCCCCCCCTTATGTATTATACATGGAGATCATATCCCCCTTATGTATTTATACATGTTGATCATATCCCCCCTTATGTATTATACATGGAGATCATATCCCCCCTTATGTATTATACATGGTGATCATATCCCCTTATGTATTATACATGGAGCACATATCACCCTTTATGTAATACACATGGTGATCATATCCCCCCTTATGTATTATACATGGAGATCATATCCTCCCTTATGTATTATACATGGTGATCATATCCCCCCTTATGTATTATACATGGAGATCATATCCCCCTTATGTATTATACATGGTGATCATATCCCTCCTTATGTATTATACATGGAGATCATATCCCCCTTATGTATCATACATGGAGATCATATCCCCCCTTATGTATTATACATGGAGATCATATCCCCCCTTATGTATTTATACATGTTGATCATATCCCCCCCTTATGTAATATACATGGTGATCATATCCCCCCCTTATGTATTATACATGGTGATCATATCCCCCCTTCTGTATTATACATGGTGATCATATCCCCCCTTCTGTATTATACATGGAGATCATATCCCCCTTATGTATTACACATGGAGATCATATCCTCCTTATGTATTATACATGGAGCACATATCCCCCCTTATGTATTTATACATGGAGATCATACCCCCCCTTATGTATTATACATGGAGATCATATCCCCCTTATGTATCATACATGGAGATCATATCCCCCCTTATGTATTATACATGGTGATCATATCCCCCTTATGTATCATACATGGAGATCATATCCCCCCTTATGTATTTATACATGTTGATCATATCCCCCCTTATGTAATATACATGGTGATCATATCCCCCCGCTACCACGTGACCGGCTGTGACGTCCCAGTCTCCTCCAGTACCTGCTTGCAGTGTCCCAGAACTAGAAGGAAATGCTGGAAGCCACCAGCATCACCGACTGACACTGGACCCACTACCTTGCATAGAGACCCACATCTCTTCAAACAGCGGAGACCGATTATGGGACATGGTATGTGCTTCTCTACTATGCCTTTGTGAGTGGCCTGTATTATACATTATATGTTTTATTAAGAGAGTTGTATCGCTACACTTAGAATGTGCCGCTCTTCTTTTCCCTGGATCTATTCCCTCAGCACAACCTAAGATAAATGCAATCAGTGAGCGCTTCAAATAATAGCAGCTATAGCACATAAGGCAACCAAAACATAAACCTCATAAATATATATATATAAAAAGTGCAGCGCTAAAAAGGTATATACTCCAATGAAAATACTCCAAATAAAGTACTCCAATAAAATATGTTATGATCAATATATACTTCAGTCCAGATAAAAGTAATGTAAGTAAAATTGATTAAAAATAAAATTAAATTAATGCATTAATAAAATGGTGACAGTTCGTGACAAGTCATTCATACAGGAGTTGTTTGTGACTTCTTGATCAAGTGGTCTGGTGATAAATAATAAAAAATACGCACTCACCAGATGCGTATTTTTAATACGCATGTAATAAATAAACCAGAGGTCCCCCTCATGGGATGGGATGGACGAGCTGGACCGTCTTAGCGGACTGTCATTCCTGTGTGCATGAGGCCTTAGTGTTCACCTCCACCATCACAGGAGTGAGCTCTTTCTCTGATATAATCTCCATCACATGCGCTTTCTTCCCCAACACAGTAGATCTGAGCTCAGCACTGGGAGTTCACTCCTGTGATGGTGGAGGTGGAACTGGTCTTCGCTTAGCAACGTCCTAGCAACTAGGCAGGACGGGACGAGGCCATTTCTGGGAGTTTTTCTTCCAGGCTTCAGGAGGTATAGAAATGGCCTTCACCTATAGCAAGGGCATTATTCACCTTTGGTCAGAGCTGCACATTTTGTTTCTATCTACAGACACCCCTTATCTGAATAGTTTTTGGTAGAGGTGAACTGTACCGTTAAAAATTGATATCGTTCGGGTTTTCTTCCACTTTAGTATATTTTTTTTTAACTAAACGAGAGTCTGAAAAACTACTCCCATTTTCTCCTCCATGGTCTGCATTCAGAAAATATATATTATTTGGGGGGGGTTTTAACCACTTGCGTACCGAGCACTTTTACCCCCTTCGTGCCCAGGCCGATTTTCAGATTTCAGCGCTGTTGCAATTTGAATGACAATTGCACGGTCATGCAAAACTGGACCCATTTGAAAATGTTACCATAGACCTTTATTGTGGTGGTATTTAATCACCACTGGGCATTTCATTTTTTTGCAAAAAAATGAAAAGAGGCTGAAAATCTTGAAAAAAAAAAAAGTTTTTCTTAGTTTCTGTTATAAAATTTTGCAAACAGGTATTTTTTCTTCTTCACTGCCGTGCATTGATGAGGCTGCACTGATAGGCGGCACTGATGAGAAGGAATAGATGAGGCTGCACTGATGGGCACTGATAGGCAGCACTGATGAGACAGCACTTGTGGGCATTGATGAGGAGGCATAGATAAGCCTGCACTGATATACGGCACCGATAGGCAGCACTGATGAGGCAGCACTGGTGGGCATTCATGAGGAGGCATAGATGAGCCTGCAGTGATAGGGAGCACTGATGAGGCAGCACCGGTGGGCATTGATGAGGAAGCATAGATGAGCCTGCACTGATATACTGCACCGATAGGCAGCACTGATGAGGTGGCACTGGTAGGCAGCACTGATGAGGTGGCACTGGTAGGCAATGATGAGGAGGCATAGATGAGCCTACACTGATATACCGCACCAATATAGGCAGCACTGGTGGGCATTGCTGAGGAGGCATAGATGAGCCTGCACTGATATACGGCACCGATAGGCAGCACTGATGAGGTGGCACTGGTGGGCATTGATGAGGAGGCATACATGAGCCTGCACTGATATACGGCACCAATAGGCAGCACTGATGGTCACTGATGAGGAGGCATAGATGAGCCTGCACTGATATACGACAGCGATCGGCAGCACTGATGAGGCGGCACTGGTGGGCACTGATAGGCAGCACTGATGAGGCTGCACTGGTGGGCATTGATGAGGAGGCATAGATGAGCCTGCACTGATGATATACGGCACAATAGGCAGCACTGATGGTCACTGATGAGGAGGCATAGATGGCCTGCACTGATATATGGCACCGATAAGCAGCACTGGTGGGCATTGATGAGGAGGCATAGATGAGCCTGCACTGATATATACGGCACTGATAGGCAGCACTGATGAGGCGGCACTGGTGGGCACCGATAGGCAGCACTGATGGGCGTTAATGAGGAGGCATAGATGAGCCTGCACTGATATACCGCACCGATAGGCAGCACTGATGAGGCTGCACTGGTGGGCATTGATGAGGAGGCATAGATGAGCCTGCACTGATATACCGCACCGATAGGCAGCACTGATGAGGCTGCACTGGTGGGCATTGATGAGGCATAGATGAGCTTGCACTGATATACCGCACCGATAGGCAGCACTGATGAGGCAGCACTGGTGGGCATTGATGAGGAGGCATAGATGAGCTTGCACTGATATACCGCACCGATAGGCAGCACTGATGAGGCTGCACTGGTAGGCATTGATGAGGCATAGATGAGCTTGCACTGATATACCGCACCGATAGGCAGCACTGATGAGGCGGCACTGGTGGGCATTGATGAGGAGGCATAGATGAGCCTGCACTGATATACCGCACCGATAGGCAGCACTGATGAGGCTGCACTGGTGGGCATTGATGAGGCATAGATGAGCTTGCACTGATATACCGCACCGATAGGCAGCACTGATGAGGCGGCACTGGTGGGCATTGATGAGGAAGCATAGATGAGCCTGCACTGATATACCGCACCGATAGGCACCACTGATGAGGCGGCACTGATGGGCATTGATGAGCCTGCACTGATAGGCACTAATAAGCAGAACTAAAGGGCACTGACAGGTGGCACTGATGGGCACACATCGGCAGCATTTCTGGGCCTTTTGGGCTGCACTGATAATCAGTGTAGAAGTCTCCTTTCACACTTGCTGGTACTTACCTCGCTGTGACAGTTGAGGAAAGTGCTGCTAATAACCGGCAACTGTGTTACATCACAATCAGCTGTAATTGGACACAGCTGACCACGTGGTAAAAGGCCCTGTGATTGGCCCTTTACCGTGTCATGTGATCATCTGCATCCAAAGGACACAGTGATCACACAGAGTGCGCACTGTTATGGGAGGATGTCATATGACGTCCTCCCAGAACTGGAGAACCGCGCTGTAACTGTCATTCGGCTAGAACATGATCAACAAGCGGTTAACTAATCTTCAGGCCTAAAATGTGCATTTTATCATATGTGCAAAAAAAAAGTGAAAGGATTAAAGCTCAGAAAGGGATTAGACCCCCTTTTGGTTTTTATTAGTGACCACGCCCCGTTTGTCTTAGCAACTGTTGTCACCAGGGTGTAAAGTGATAAGAAATGCAAACGGAAGTCCTCAAAGGAACAGGAAGTGTACAGAAATCTGACAACTTTCTAAGCGGAATCTTCATTTTCCAGAAATTTCCTCCGACTTCCTGTTGTGTAAAAGGAAGCAAACGGAAATCTCCCCATTGGGACGCTTCAAAAAAAGGAAAAAAAAAACCACAACAGGAGTTTTACTTTTTCTGTAGTCATGACTGGAAAATGAATTAAAGACAATAATTAAAAATAAAAAGTTTGTCTTTAGATAAATAAGTCACCTCATGACACCGGCTGGCAAATACAGATATTACTTTCTTTACGGCCGTCGTTCTTCCCTCACAGAAACCCCGCCTCTCTAGAGCAGCCCATGTTTCTTCCTTAACTTACGACTTTTCCCTTTACGACTCTCCAGCCATCATGTCGCGGCGCAGTAAGTCTCTATCAAATTCTCGGTTTTTTATACTTCTGTTGTTGACTGCCGTTCACTAACAATGTGTGTTTTCCCCCCTTCCCTCCACAGAAAACCGAAGACCCGGGAAGGGAGCCGGGAAACCTCAGGTACTGGCGGAGAACCGAGAGCATGGACGGGGGCCATGTGTGGGCAGAGCGAGGCATGCTGGGAAATGGAGTCCGCAGCGCTGTTGAAGTAAATGGGCTGGAGCTCAGAGAAGACTACAATTCCCAGCATGCTGTGCGGCTCCATGTGGCTCTATGGAGAGCTGTGTTGTGAGACCTAAAGTGTATGTTGTATGTGTACAGCAGGAACCCCTCATACCATGTCTGGTGTTGTCAGTAGTTATAATGGATGTCTACTATGGTTACCCAAAAGAATACATTGAACAGACCTCAATCTTTATTTATACAGAACACATTCTGGTTAGGCTAGGTCTCATTTTTGTAAATATTCTCTCTTTTCATGTGACAACATTGAAGAAATGACACTTTGCTACAATGTGACTTCAGTCTACAGCTTGTATAACATGTAAATTTGCTGTCCCCTCAAAATAGCTCAACACACAGCCATTAATGTCTAAACCGCTGGCAACAAAAGTGAGTCCACCCCTAAGTGACAAGGTCCAAATTGGGCCCAAAGTGTCAATATTTTGTGTGGCCGCTATTATTTTCCAGCACTGCCTTAACCCTCTTGGGCATGGAGGTCACCAGAGCTTCACAGGATGCCACTGGAGTCCTCTTCCTTTCCTCCATGACGTCATCACGGAGCTGGCGGATGTTAGAGACCTTGCGCTCCTCCACCTTCCGTCTGAGGATGCCCCACAGATGGTCAATAGGGTTCAGGTCTGGAGACATGCTTGGCCAGTCCATCACCTTTACCCTCAGCTTCTTTAGCAAGGCAGTGGTGGTCTTGGAGGTGTGTTTGGGGTCGTTCTCATGTTGGAATACTGCCCTGTGGTCCAGTCCATGAAGGGAGGGATCATGCTTTGCTTCAGTATGTCACAGTACATGTTGGCTTTCATGGTTCCCTCAATGATCTGTAGCTCTCCAGTTCTGGCAGCACTCATTCAGCCCCAGACCATGCCACTCCCACCATCATGCTGGACTGTAGGCAAGATACACTTGTCTTTGTACTCCTCACCTGGTTGCCGCCACACACGCTTGACACCATCTGAATCAAATCAGTTGATCTTGGTGTCATCAGACCACAGGACATGGTTCCAGTAATCCATGTCCTTAGTCTGCTTGTCTTCAGCGGGCTTTCTCTTGTGCATCATCTTTAGAAGAGGCTTCTTTCTGGGATGACAGCCATGCAGACCAATTTGATGCAGTGTGCGGCGTATGGTCTGAGCACTGACAGGCTGACCCCCCCCCCCCCCCCCCCCCACCCCTTCATCCTCTACAGCAATGCTGGCAGCACTTGTACGTCTATTTCCCAAAGACAACCTCTGGATATGATGCTGAGCACGTGCACTCAACTGCTTTGGTGGACCATGGCGAGGCCTGTTCTGAGTGGAACTTGTCCTGTTAAACCGCTGTATGGTCTTGGCCACCGTGCTGCAGCTCAGTTTCAGGGTCTTGGCAATCTTCTTATAGCCTAGGCCATCTTTATGTAGAGTAACAATACTTTTTTTCAGATCCTCAGAGAGTTCTTTGCCATGAGGTGCAATGTTGAACTTCCAGTGACCAGTGTGAGAGGGATAATACCAAATGTAACCCACCCGCTCCCCATTCACACCTGAGACCTTTTAACACCAGCGAGACACTGGGAGGGAAAATGGCTAATTGGGCCCAATTTTCACTTAGGGGTGGACTCACTTTTGTTGCCAGCGGTTTAGAAATTAATGGCTGTGTGTTATTTTGAGGGGACAGCAAATATACATGTCATACAAACTGTACACTGACTACGTCACATTGTAGCAAAGTGTCATTTCTTCAGTGTTGTCACATGAAAAGATAGAATCAAACATTTACAAATATATATATAAAATATTTTTACTTTTTTTTTTCTTTAGACTGGATTGAACCCCTGTCAAGTTTATATTGCTGTCTGTGCCCCAGATGGAAGGGTTGTCCTCTCTATTTGTCCTGTTTACTGTTATCAGAAAAAAATGGCGTCCCCAGAACAGGAGTAGAGGCAAATCTTCAATTGGGGACACTAGTTCTGGTGACAACCAGGCATTCTTTCACTTTATAGGGATTTCCTCTCACTTTCTGTTTTGGCTATGGGACAGGAAGTGAAGGGAAATCTCCCCAATGAAAAACAAATGACAAAAACCTGACGGGTCATAACCCTCCCTAACTCTCTCCAAAATGGGAAAAAAAAGCTATGCCTTTAGTTCTACTTTAAAGCATAAACCAACACAGGAGGAGCACCAGACCCAGATCATAAGAGTTCAAATTACTTTAGGACCGGTTCACACCATAGAAATGCAGTCTAGATGTGTTCCAGATGCGTTGTTGTATGCGTGTTTTTGACACATTCCAGTACGTTTTTGATGCGTTCCAGTTAATTTTTTTCCCCCTCTTTTTTTTCTTCAACTTAAAGGATAAGTTCACCTTTGGGAACATGTTACATGGTTTTAGGGTGGAACATGTAACACATTCCCATAGCCGAAGCCGCCACCCACCACCGCCCCTCCCCCTGACAGATAATACAGGGAGAAGTTTCCCCACACTATCTGTCAGATTTGAAAACAGCGCGGCCGTGCTGGGCTCCGTCCACACGGCTGCGTCACTCGTTCACGGATCACTCACGGAGTTCTGTGAATGAGTGCCTACAAGTCCTTAGCGGTTGTCGGCTTGTAGTTTTCAATGAACTACCATGGCAAGCAGATATTCTGACAGGTCTGCAGGAGACCTGCATGGCATCAGCAATCTACTGATCACTGGTGTAATGCTTTCCAGGCTCCTGCAGACAAAAATGATAAATGCATTTTTTTTTACCTGCAAAAAAATGTGCATTTATTATCTTTGCCAAAAAGGTGAACTTATTGTTTAACAACTTGCCAACTGCGCTATAGCCAAATGACGGCTGCAGCGCAGTAGTCTAGTTCTGGGAGGGCGTCATATGACTCCTCCCAGAACACCTCCCCCCAGCGACACGCACCTGGCGATCTCCATGATTTCTGTGTCCTACGACCAATCACAGCAGCCTTTTACCACGTGATCAGCTGTGTCCAATGACACAGCAGATCACCGAGTAAATACAGTTGCCGGTTATTGGCTGCGCTTTCCTCACATTGTAACAGAGTGAGCAAAGTACTGCCGATAACTGGCAGTTGTCACAGAGCAGATTGGTACTGATGATCAGTGCCCAGCAGTGCCTCACACCAGTGCCCATCAATGCCTCCCAGCAGTACCACCCAGCAGAGCCGACCAGCAGTTGCACCCATCAGTGCTGCAAGTCCTTGGCATCAGTCAGTGCCTCCTCATCAATGCCCACCAGTGCCACCTCATCAGTGCAGCCTATCAGTGCTGCCTATCCGTGCCACCTCATCAGTGCCCATCAGTGCTGCCTATCAGTGCAGCCTCATCAATGCACATCAGTGAAGGAGAAAAATTATCTGTTGGCAAAATTTTATAATAGGAGCAAAGAAAAACGTATTTTTTAAAAAAATGTTTTGCTCTTTTTTTGTTTATAGTGCAAAAAATAAAATGCCCAGTGGTGATTAAACACCACCAAAAGAAAACTCTATCTGTGTGAAAAAAATTATAGAAATTTCATATGGGTACAATGTTGCATGACCGTGCAATCGTCATGCAAAGTGTGAGAGCGCTGAAAGCTGAAAATTGGCCTGGGCATGAGGGGGGTAAAAGTGCTCGGTAGGCAAGTGGTTAAATAAGGACATGTGCGCTCCAGTGGATTTTTGGTGCATTCCGGTATGTTTCTGATACGTTTTACTGCGTTCCAGTACAGTTCAGTGCAGAAAAAATGCAGCATGTTCTACTTTTTTTTTTTCTGGAACTGGTACACACTAGAACTGACCGCACTGGTGTGAACTATGCCGTTGGAAACCATGTAACCTACTAGCCATGCGCTTTTGATGCAGAAAAAAACCGCATTGGACTGCATATGGTGTGAACTGGCCCTTAAAGTGGATCTAAAGCTTCAAAGCGCTAAAACTATTCAATGCATTAGGGTAAAAATTCTCCTATACTGCAGGATCCCCCCAGCCCCCCCTCATACTTATCCAGGGATGTGCATGACAGCAGCGGCTCTTGCCGCTGTCTCCCCCCCTCACTAGGCAGATTGATAGCAGCAGGAGCCATTTGCTGCCTCCATAGCAAGCAGCTTGCTATGGGGGCACTCAGCAAGGAGGAGAAGCCAGGATTGCCAGCAGGAGACCCCTTGTAACATCCTCTTTGAGCTTCCAAGTCAATTCCTTCCCCCCTCAACTTCCACATGAGCAAAGCACATTGGTTGCAGTCATGTGTACTGCTGTATATACACTAAACATCCCATAGTCCATCTTGGAGCAAGCAAGAGAGCGCAAGTACCAGGGATGAGCGCAGGCATGTTTGGACACAAGTCCGAACCAGCTTGAGATATCCCCCCAGGAAGGTGCAAACTCGGTGTAGAGCTATTCAAACTGAGGTCATCACACAGAGGACAAGGGGGCACTTTTTATGCCTGGAGGAAAAGAAATTTAATCTCCAAACACGGAAAGGTTTCTTCACAGTGAGAGCTGTGAAAATGTGGAATTTTCAAGACTCCCTCAAGAGTTGGTTCTGGCCAACTCAATGCATTGCTTCAAAAAAGGCCTGGATTCTTTCTTAGATACACAGAATATAACTGGATACTAATATTTATAGGTAAAGTTGATCCTGGGAATATCCGATTGCCTCTCGGGATCAGGAAGGTATTTTTTTTCCCTACAGGAGCAAATTGGATCATTTTTTTCTGGGTTTTCTTGCCTTCCTCTGGATCAACTGTGAGTGTAGGATTATAACTTTTTTTTTTCTTTTAATGGTTGAACTGGATGGACTTTTGTCTTCTTTCAGCCAGACTAACTATGGAATAGAAACTTCCTTTTTTAAACTAGAGTTTAGTGTTCCTTTAATTTTTTTATCCACAACTATAAAAAAAAATTGCTGGATTTAGGCTAGCTCTTATGTGTAGTTTACAGCTCTAACAAATCAGGGCATCATACATTAATATGCTTTCTGACTATTCAGCAGATTATTTCCAATAACATCCCAGAATTGAGCGGTTCACTGTCTTGTTTTGTCCACCAGGGAAACCATCTGCAGAATCCCGGGAAAAATGTCAAGAAAGATCCTGGAATACCTAACCTAACTCACTTCAAGGAACAGGCTAAAAGAGAGGCCGAGCAGAAGAAAAAAAGGGTGAGAGGGAAACACAGCTATTCCTGATATGCCAAGTCTAAAGCAGGCCATAGATTATGCAATTTTCTTACCTTCTTCCATGAGTTGAATGAAAGAACATTGCTGGATTCCCCCATCAACGCAATAGGTGTTGATGGGGAAATCCTTCCTGCAACACTATTGTGTTCTGCCAACGGGGAGCCTCCAGGAAAAAAACAGGCTGGTTATACGCAAGTCATTTGATACATTGACCTGTGTACAACCAGGGTGCTTATGCATGGATCGAAATTCGAGTGGTCCCTGCTGAACCGGACGACTGTCAATCCATGTATGGCCAGCTTAAGGCTTCATTGGCACGGCAAAACTTTTCTAGCTGTAGCAAGAATCTACTAGCTTTCGAGTCTCCTGCTGAGAGGCAGGCCTGTTGCTTTGTGAACACAGGAGGTCAGCCGATCAGCGAGACCATTTAGAGAAAACTTTTTTTTTTTAAATGAATGAAAAATGTTATCTGAATGTACAATACTTGTATGAAATAATTCTTTGAGATGTCCAATCAGAGAACACTTTGCTTTGCATTCTCTAAATAGATGCATTCTCTGCAGTCCGTGCCAAGCAGTTGACCTCCAGTATTAAAGGATAGGTTCACCTTTCATAACATGTTCACCTATATTCAGGGTGTAACATGTTATGAATAGACTGGCCCCTGGTCTCCCGCTTTGACAGCTAGCGGGGGATCTTCTCACACTAGCTGTCAAAATTTTTAAAAATGAGACTGTGCTGGGTTCCGCCTGCCCTGTCGCGTCACTCATCCACAGAATTCTGTGAATGAGAAAATACAAGTCCCGACAACCTCAGCGGCTGTCGGCTTGTAGCTCTCCATAAACTACCTCTCCGATGTGGAGCACCGTGGTATTTCATTCATTCTTCCTGTCAGTATATCTGCTTGCCCGTACAGGATATACTGGCAGGAAGGATAAAAGGCATATAAGTGAGCGCTAAGGGTGACTTCTGTAACACCGAAAAAGCACCAATAACCTTCTGAGATCAACTGATATAATAAGGTGCAGCACTAAAATAAAAACAATATAATGCAATCAATAATGAAATTATCCAAAATAATCTTGGTGGTATATAAAGTGCATATAGTGCCAATGTAAGTGATGAATCAATCAGCGCAGGTGAATCAACAAAGTGACAACAGGGCAACTGCACATTACTAAACACAGGTAAATCAATAAAGTGACGACAGTGCAAATGCACATCCAAAAAAAGCAAAATGGTGCTTAAAAGTGACAGTCTGTATATCAATGTATAAATTAACGTGAAGTTTCAGAAAGAGTGATCCTCTGTGTATCTTCTAGTGATGAAATAATAGAATTACGCACTCACCAGATGCATAATTCCATCATGCATTTGAGAATAATTGTATCTCAGTGGGCCAGCTGGATCCTCTTATGGACACCTCTATCCTGGTATGGACTCCCCTCTGGGTCATCAATGGGATGTAGCACCACTCACCTCCTTTCACAATGGGCTCTGTGGGTGGTACGGCTCAACGAGAGCCGCAAGAAAGGATGCCAGAATAGTGTGATAATGCTGGACACACTGGGGTTTATTTACTAAAGCTGGAGAGTCCAAAATCAGACTCCCTTCTGCATAGAAACCAATCAGCTTCTAACCTCAGCTTGTTCAATGAAGCTTTGGCAATGAAACCTGGAAGCTGATTGGTTTCTATGCAGAAGGGAGTCTGATTTTGGACTCTCTAGCTTTAGTAAATAAACCCCACTGTGACAGCCGCCCGCTCTGTGTTTTCCCGCTGCTCTTTCCGTACAAGCACGCTCACGTCACATCTACGGATCCCCACAGCGACCAAAACTCCCCCCCCCCAGAAACGCAACACCAGAAGATACACAGAGGATCACTCTTTCTGAAACTTCACGTTAATTTATACATTGATATACAGACTTTGTCACTTTTAAGCACCATTTTTGCTTTTTTTGGATGTGCATTTGCACTGTTGTCACTTTATTGATTTACCTGTGTTTAGTAATGTGCAGTTGCCCTGTTGTCACTTTATTGATTTACCTGCGCTGATTGTTTCAACACTTACATTGGCACTATCTGCATTTTATATACCACCAAGATTATTTTGGATAATTTCATTATTGATTGCATTATATTGTTTTTATTTTAGCGCTGCACCTTATTATATCAGATATACTGACAGGTCTGTGGGAGACCTGCATTGCGCCAGCGATCTGCTGATCGCTGGTGCAATGGTTTACTGGCTTCTGCAACAAAAAATAATAAATGCAAATTTTTTACCTGGAAACAAATGTGCATTTTATTATTTTTTAGTAAAAGGTGGACTTATCCTGTAACAATGCATCAGGCTGGCTGCTCAGCATGGGAGAAGCAAGTGGAGTATCGGTGTTTTACTTCAATGATGCCCAGTTTCCAAGGGCATTGGCCAGGCATGGTATAAGTTAGTTACATTGGTCCAAACTGGACCAATGTAACAATGAAAAAATAGGCCATGCCTAGAATTCATATTTAAGGTGCAGTAGCACAGTGGTGAAATCTTCACTCTCTTCTGTCCTTAAGGCGGACTTCCACCCAAAAGGGAAGTTCCGCTTTAAGGCTTTGTCCCCTGCTCCCCCTTAAGGATTGGCACCTTTGGGAGTGGGTACTCGAATTTTCCAGGTACCCACTCCCACTTCCGGTGTGATCGCCGAAGGTGATCGGAGACGGAAGTTGTCCTCCCCCTCCCTCCCCATAGTCTTTTGGGACACGAAGACTATGGGACCATTCACAAAGCCCAGCGCTTGCACAGTGGGCACCTGGCTGTGTAGCCGCAAGCTGTCACAGCCGGGCCCCCACACTGAATATGACAGCACCGGGGAGAGAATAGAGCTGATGAAACCAGCCATGGTGAGGACCCCGCTGGACCGAGGGATAGGTAAGTGTCTGTATTTTAAAAGTCAGTAGCTACAGTTTTTGTAGCTGCTGACTTTATTTTATTTTTTTTTAATTCAACTGGAACTCCACTTTAAAGAGCAATAGTATACTGTTGAAATTGTCACTCTGCTCTGTCCTCCTGGAGCAGTAACACACTGGTGGAATAATTACTCTGCTCTGTCCTTCTAGAACAGCAGCACACTGGTAACATCATCACTCTGCTCTATCCTCCTGACACATTAGCACAATAGTGAGATCCATCACTCTGCTGTTTTTCCATGTAGCTTGCATTGTTAGATGGATTAAACTGTGCAATGCAGTAGAACTTAACTGGCGTACAGTGCTCCTGCCTCTCTTAATCTGTGTTCTACTCTGCATTGGTTTCCAGAAGGCTGATACCGAGAAAGTTTCAGGTACTTTATCTCACTGTATGGAAAAATTAATTCTAATAAATATTTAAATTGAATAAATTCTGTTTTTATATCTCCCTGGAGCTCAGCTTTAGGTATGTGGATAGTTTTAGGTTTCATTTTGCAGCACTTGGCAAAAGGCTTTGATTTGCAAGGTGCTTTGGGACTCGTAGTTCATTAGAGTTGGATGCAAACGGTCTGTACCTAATGAAGAAATACATTTGCTGACTAACGACTTACCTTTTTTGCAGGTGGAAGAGATGAGGGCCAAGCAAAAGGCTGCCAGACAGAAAGAGATGGCAAAGAGGAGAAGCTTGGACACCTTCCAGAAAGATGTGCTGAGGCGGCAACGGGAGTTTGAACAGAAGGTGGTTCTTTGAAAACCAGGATGCTTGATCTATTATCGCTTTTCTGGTCCTTGGTGACCACATGATTTTAAAAGTGTGATCCATACTGCATGGATGCTTTATAAAGGGAACTATAATGGTTGTTGTTTGGTCAACACGTGCTTTTGCATTTGCATCTGTGTGTGCAAAGGGTGGGGGCTTTTGTGGGCAGGTTGCTTTAATGTGGTTTTTTTTTTTATTATTTTCATTTTATTCCTTAAAATGAATTTTTTTCACACTTTTTTTTTTCATTTCACTTTATTGCTATCACAAGGGATCTAACAAGACCTCTATATGATAGCATGAGCAGGTGACAGGTCCTCTTTATGGAGACATCAGGGATCTATTCGACTCCAATGTTTTCCTCCAGTGCAGCTAATTAAGCACAGATTATGATAGTTCTCAAACCTGAAGTGACAAAATCTTTGTTGCTTTCAGGCTCATTAGTTACAGAGGAGATCAGGGAATGGATGTTCCTCAGTCTCCTCTGTAGCTTTGCTATCTTGAACCGTTTACTGAGGTCCTGGGCTTCCCGGAGGAACAGGAGAGCCGGGGAACCACCACGGGCAGTAGTAGTGGACTGCAAGTGATTAAGGAGACATCAACAAGATGTGCATACATTGCATGAATGTACTGCTATTTTTTACCCTTGAATTCAGATTACAGCAAAGACTTGGGTCCACTCCAGGTGAGACTTTTCTGATTCCTTAAAGTTGTTGTAAAGGCTCAAGGTTTTTACCTTCATGCATTCCATGTATGAAGGTAAACAATCTTCTGTGTGCAGCACCCACCCCAGCCCCCAAAATACGTACCTGAGCTCCATCACAATGGGCACAAAAGCCTCAGCTCTCCGAGAACTCTCCCTCCTTATTGACTGAGACAGCAGTGGAAGCCTTTGGCTCCCGCTGCTGTCAATCACAGTGAACCAACGACGAGAGAGAGGAGGGTGGGGATGAGCTACGGCTCTGTGTGTGAATGGCTACGCAGAGCAGCGGCTCGGGAGCAAGCCTGCTTGGGTACCCCCATAGCAAGTTGCTGTCTGCGGGGGCACTTGGCAGGAGAGAGGGGTCAGGAGCAACGGCGGGGGACCTGAGAAGAGGACAATTGGGGTTGCTCTGTGCAAAATCACTGCACAGAGCTGGTGATTATTACGTTTGTTTTTTTAATTGCCTTTCATATCACTTTAAAGCAGAGCTCCACCCAAAAGGGGAAGTTCCGCTTTAAGGCCTGCTTCCCATTAAGGATTGGCACCTTTGGGGGGCGGGGAGGGAAGCGGGTACCCGAATTTGACAGGTACCCGCTCCCATTTCCGGTCCGATCGCCTAGGCGATCGAAAGCGGAAGGTGTCCTCGCTCCCTGCTTCCCTCCCTGTAGTCTTTTGAGACATGTGACAAGTCCCAGAAGACTACAGGACCATTCATGAAGCGCAACGCTACTCGTGCATGCGCATTGGGTACCCGGCTGTGAAGCCGCAAGCTATCACAGCCGGGTGCCCAAACTAAGTACAGGACAGCCGGTGAAACGGGCTGTGGGGGACGCACCACGGGACCGAGGGACAGGTAAGTGGTTGTTTTTTTAAAAATCAGCAGCTACAGTTTTTGTCAGCGAGAGTGGAACTCCGCTTTAAGGCTCTATTTGTGAATTAGTGATGGGATTTTATTAGTAATCAGTGGGGCATAGGTTCAGTGTGTAGGTATGTTTTTATTTCAATTGTTTAATGATTAAAACCTTTTTGAATTATATATTATTTATGAGGTTTTTTTTTTATATGACCAAAGTGTGCTTCCTGTTTGTATAGAGCATGTTATAGCAGGAGTAGGTAAAGCTTGGCCCTCAAGCTTGTGTGGAACTACAAATCCCATGAGGCATTGCAAGACTTTGACAGCCACGAGCATGACTCCCTGAGGCAAAGGCATGATGGGACTTATAGCTGGAGGGCTGAGATTTTGCCTACCCCTGTTGTAGGGTATAGGCTGCAGTGGGCTCAGACAGAGAGTGATGTCGTGTCCATACTGGCCAGGCTTGTAGCCCTTACAAAGGTGAGGGCATCAATATGAATATAGCAAACAAGGCAATCTAGTGCATAAGGATAACACTAGGTAACTCTTTGCATTAGTAATGTTTTCCCATTCAATTTATATGAAACATAGTGATGTTCCTGAGTCCATGTAATCTGTGTTTGTTCAATATTCAGTTGCAGAGTGATAATGTCATATTTCTGTGTGTGCAGGAAGCTGATCTGAGGAGCTTGGAGAAACATGAGCAGCTGGAGAATGAAAATTCCAGGAAAGCTTATTATCGTGAATTTAAAAAGGTCAGCACCAACATTCTGTAATACGTGTTGGATCCTGCAACTCACAGTGCATGCTGATGTTTTGATTGTTCAATTGAAGACCAATCTACATTTTCCAAGATAGCAATACATGTTGACATTTTAAAGTCCAATTTACCTGTGCTGACCAAGTAACGCATATGTGCTACGGAAAAGAGGTTGGCCTTTAACGCCACTGCACCGCACATATGCATCCAGCAGAGCTTTCTGTGCTGAGTGCATGCCCATGCTCAAAAGACATCTCCCTGTCCATACTAATGATCAGGAGCTGGTGGGACCAATTCCCGATAATGTGACCACTGTGACTGCCAGTCACAATGGTCACATGATCGGGCGAGCCTTTCTGTCCCCCAACTTTGTTAAAGGCACACCAGGGCTGGGTGGGAAGGGGTTAAACATTTAAGTCTTTTATCTTCTTGTAGTCCTTTGCCCCCACATGGTATGATTGTAATTGATTTGCTTGGAAATGCTTTACATGACCTCTTTCTCTAAGTTAAAGTGCTGTTTGCTGTCATCCCACTCTAGTTCTTCGTATAGCCATGGCTGAATAACAACCATACCCTTCAGTGTCCGCACACAATTTAGTATTACAGAAAAGGGAAAGGCGTCTCCCTGACCAGTCCTGTTACTGAGTGCTAATTACTCAGTGCACTAGGTCTAGTTCTGGAGCCTATTAGGCTCTAGGAAGAAGGGTTAGCCGCATGCGGGAGGATTGACCATAACCAATTGGTTATGATTAAGCACGAGATTGTGTGAAAAGTGTTAACAAGTTCTGTACACAAGTCCTAGTGTTCTATGTGTCCTATGCTGTGGCGTCCCAAGGCAGGTGAGGGGGGTACGCGCCGCACCGGGTGACACCTACCACACGGGGTGACACCAGACCTGCTGCACGAAAAGGTAAGTTGTAAAGCAAGCCGACGATCCCCGCAGGATGGATCCGATCCATCCTGCGGGGATCATCGGCTTTCTTTACAACTTACTTTTTCGTGGAGCGGGACCGGTGTAACCCCGTATAGGTTGCATGCTGACGATCCACACAGGATGGATCGGATCTGCGGATTGGGGAGCATAATGGATCGGACTCCGTTCCATTATGCTCAGTCCGCAGATCCGAACCATCCTGCAGAGATCGTCGGAAGGGGTGTCACCAAGTGTTATCGCACCAGGTGACACCAACCCTAGGGATGCCCCTGGTGCTATGGATCAATAAATATTTGCTATAATTCATCAATCCTCCGAGGTGTGGCTAACCCTTCTTCCTATTGCATCACGTGTGGTGGCGAGCCAGAGTCTGCACCTGCCTTGGTTTGTTCTGGATTTATAAAATCAACATGCTGCACTAGAAGTAATGGTGGTTAAAACCCATATGGGACTAATGTCAACTTCTCTCAGTATAATATAGATATTCAAAAAAAGAGAGATTCACAAATGAGGAGTAGCCTGTATGATTAAGTTGAAAATCACTCCAAAGCATAAAATTGCATTGTACAGATAGATGGAAAAGTCACAATAAGGGTATCAAAGTGCATGTGGCGAGGTGACAATCAATCAATAATGGTCAGTGAACATCCGTGATATTGGGGATAAAATGAACAGATGTAGATTGCACTAACCAGATAGTGCAAGAGAATGCGCATTTGAGTAATTAAAACCAACTCCTGGTCATCCGCATCTAAACGTCTAGAGCGCCAGCATCTGGTGGGCATCAGCAGGATCTACAGCGCACCATCAGGGCTTCCAGGGAGCAGGAGTACACTCAAAAAAAACATCAGGGGGAGCCAGCACTCGCCGTATGAAAACGTCAGGGGTCTCCTGAGCCCAAGCAGAGAGATTTTCCATAGTGCAGTAGGCTTTATTATGATCAAAGTTTAGTAATGATAAAAGTAAATGAACTCACATTTAAATAGCATACAGTAACAAATATGGCCGATGGCCATTCAGAGAGCCACGTGGTGTGATGTCACTGAGGGCAGCTTCCCGACATGTTTCGTGCACTTGCACGTTCTGGATTGTTTGCCTGAGCGGTAATACCTCTGCTTTTTGGCCTATTAGGCTCTAACTGTATTTGTGATACAAAAACTTGGGTGGCCCACAATTTCCTTTGATTAAACTGTGACAAGACTGAAGTCATGCCTATTGGCACCCCCTATCAATTATGTAAGGCCAGTCCCGATACCCTATCTATAGATGGCCTGTAGTTAATCTTTAGCCTAAATTGAATCTAGGGGTTATATTTGCTGCTAGTTTAGCCTTTGATCCACATGTACAAAATGTTGTCCGAACATCTTTTCTCCACTTGAGAATCATTGCTCGGCTGCATCCTATGTTATCATACACTGTAGCTGAAAAGCTGTTCCATACGTTTGGGTTCTCCTAACTTGACTGCTGCAATGCTCTACTTGCTGGTGTCTCTAAATCCACTATTAATCGATTACAATATGTACAAAATTCTACAGCCAAAATCCTGACTAGGTCTGGTACAAGTGACCATATAACCCCTATCCTGGAGTCCTTACACTTCCCTAAAAGCTATTAGGATAAATAAGAAACCCTATTCATTTTCTCTACTTTCAGGTTTCCATGGTCTCTTTTGAAACAATATCCTCTGGTCTCTTGTCTTGTAGGTGGTTGAGGCTGCTGATGTTATCCTGGAAGTGTTGGATGCCAGGGATCCTTTGGGCTGCCGATGCCCTCAGGTAGAACAAGCTGTGGTACAGAGTGGAGCAAATAAGAAGCTGGTTCTGGTTCTTAATAAAATAGGTATTAGCCAGACTCATTATTACCTATAGAACGACCACAAGACTGTAGAAGAGTTCAATTTTGGTATTGTAGTATAAAGAACACAACAGGGCATGAAAAATCTGATGTGAACATTATTTACAAATGTTTGTTTTTACAATATTATTATTATACAAGATTTATATAGCGCCAACAGTTTGCTCAGCGCTTTACAATATAATGGGAGACAATACAGTAACAATACAGTTCAATACAAGACGGATTTGAATATTAACTAGAAAAGCTGCAATTTCTGGGGAAATTGTGTGAAGTGTTCTTGCCTCCACTAGTAGTCTACAACTGGAGTTGGCGGAGTAACTGGGTGGAGTGGCTGGAGTAACTGGGTGGAGTGGCTGGAGTAACTGTGAAAAGGGTGGACTGGGCAGAGTAACTTTATGGAGTGGGCAGAGTAACTGTGTGGAGTGTTTGGAGTGAGTAAAGATAGTAAACATTACACTAACCAATTGATTGATCAAATGTAAAAAGTTTACATGGCAAGCTTGATAGAGTGAGAAATCCAGATTCAGCCAACAGCAGGTTAAAGTCCTCTGTCAGCTGATGTCACAGAGCTGTTCCAGGCTCTGAAAGGATCCGGACCATATTTTTGGGATCCACCCAGTTGCCTGACTGACAGCTGGCTCCATCTCTCGGTACGGCTGAGGGCTGAGAGCCGAAGCAAGCTCTACTCTCCCCTTCCCAGCTCCAGTGAGCGCTGGAGGGGCAGACCAGAGAGTGGTGACTGACAGTCACTGCTCTCCGCTCAGAACTGAATGATCAGCGTTCATGTGATCACTCAGTTCTTAGGCTTAGAGTCAGTGAGGGACAACTGCAGCATTACAGCGATGCTGCAGCGTGGAGGTAGTTATGTATATTTTTTTCCAAGTCCATACTTCTCCTTTAAGCACAATTTACAATTTTAGATGTGTTACATAACATGGGAAATTTTACTTTTTAAATTCAGGTCCGCTATAAAGTGGACTTTTCCCTTATTTCTGATGTGCCATTTTGGCTATAAATTCCATTTGGTTATAAAATTATTTTTCCAGTATTCACTAAAGTTTCATTCTTGGTACAGAGCCAATGTCCAGCTTTTTACGTGATGCTTCTTTGCCTATTTTCAGCCAGTCTGCTCACCTTAGCTCACTAACAGCAACTTGCAGCACAACATGTTCAGATTTGGACAGTGATGTTTATGAATTAAAAAAAGTAATATTTTAAATCCGTTGTTAAATCAAATATACTGCAGAAAGTGAAAAGTCTTGAGTATGTCTACATGTAACTGATGTTTCTATCTTTGTCACAGATTTGGTATCCAAACCCATAGTGGAGAAATGGCTGAAGTATTTGCGGAATGAATTCCCCACAGTGGCTTTCAAGGCTTCTACACAGCAGCAGAATAAAAACTTGGTAATAATACTTTGTATCTAAGTTTTTGAAATTGTTCCCAGTTTTTATGCTCATACCAGCTGGTGCTGTTACCAATAAATATAGGGCTTTTTTTAAAAGAAACTTTGCCACCCCACCTTTTCGTTTTATACTGACAAGATCTCTTTAAAGGCGAAGTGTGGGAATATTAAAAAAAAAATAAACATATATACTTACCTACCTGCTGCAGCATCGGTCCATGCTGGAAGCTGTTCCCCACCAGCTCTAAGCCCCAGAACCGAACAATCACATTACCGTCATGTGACTTCCTCCCATGATGCAGTGCTTGGGCCTAGTGGCCAATTGCTGGACCTGAACAATTTCACATGATGGATTGGGTGATGCCATCTCTGACTGTAAGTTCTTACACCAGCCTATGGCAGGTATTTTGCAGAAGCTATGAGGAATGAAAGAGCGCTGGGATGAGGGCTATGAAGTTGAGTATAACTGGATTAGGGGCATCTATGATATTGCAGGGACCAAAGGCATGCAATATTCATTAAAGCCTATATTGTCTGTGAAACTGTGGATTTATGCTGTTGTGATTAAAGTGAAGTGGAATTTTTTTTTTTTTTTTAATCCAAAAAGTGAAGTGGAATTTAATTGCTTCCCTATGATGGCAGAGGAGACATAAATTTATTTTCTGCTTTATGAAAGTCGACTGTTGCCACCATTGCAGTAGAGGTGTTTGCTTTGCCCATACAACCAATATTATCTGTGTGAGTTTGTTTTATATACTTCTAAGTGAGGTTTATACAGACTTTACCTATTATCATTTTAAGCAGACCTTCATACTCTCAGTCAACACTGACTATTTTATCCTTTTGCTGCTTGCATTAGTAAATAGGAAGGTATAACATATTTACTTGTTTAGATTTTTTTTTTTTTACGTTTCTTCAGTTACTTTCTGGTTTCCATGCATAGGCATATGATGTCATACATCCCAGGAGTATTCAGAAGGGGTTTTCTCAGCTAAGCACACCCTCCTGCCTGCATGCCTGAGCTATAGGCAGATAGATTCCAGGAAGTAATGAAACATGAAACATCTGTCCTTACTCAAGATAGCCACGGACAGAAATGCTAGGGTTTTTTTTCAAAATGATTTCTGAGAAAAATAAAGAATGGAGATATGGATGGATGGATGCCTTTGCTTTGAATGTTAAAGGATAAGTTCACCTTTTGGAGAAAAATAATAAATGCACATTTTTTTTGCAGGTAAAAAAATTTGCATATATTATTTTTGTCCAAAGGAGCCTGTAAAGCATTGCACCAGTGATCAGTAGATCGCTGATGCCATGCAGGTCTCCTGCAGACCTATCAGAATATTTGCTAGCCGTACAGGATGTACGGTCAAGCAGATATTCTGACAGGAAGCTTCAGTGAACTACCACAGTGCTCCCTAGCGCCATGGTAGTTCATTGAAAACTACAAGCACACAGCTGCTAAGGCTGCAGGGACTCGTAGGCACTCATTCACAGAACTCTGTGAATGAGTAACGAGGCCATGTGGCCGGATCCCTGCACAGTCATGCTGTTTTCAAATCCGACAGATAGTACGGGGAAACTTCTTCCCATACTATCTGTCAGAGGGAGGGGGGCTGCAGGCGCTGCTACGGCTATGGGAACATGTTGCATGTTCCACTCTAAAAACGGGTGGAACATGTAACATGTTCCAAAGGTGAACTTATCCTTTAAAAACAAATTAAATAGTGTTTTTGATTTGTGTTGCTCAGATGCAGGGTCGTTTTGTTCCTTTGTGCAGCCCAAAGAAACACTGCAGTATGCACCCCCCACCCTCCACCATACACTTTTGATTTATACAAGTCAATTCTGCAATGTTGACTTATGTGGTTAGTTAAAAAGCAGTGGTATGGCCATACTGCAGTCATACGTCTGGTTAAAGAAAAAAAAAATGGACATTTATAGAGCATAAAGGGTTGCTTTTATAAATGTTCTTCGTGTTCTGCTGGCTTTGAGAAAATGAATAAGATAGTGAAAAAATAAACACACATGGAAGAAATCCTGGTCGCATGATCCGTCAGACATCATTTGTTTTGTGGCATGTGTAATGTAACTTGTAACACTTTTTTTTTGTCTTTACAGCAACAGAGCAGGGTGCCAGTCACCCAGGCATCTGAGGATCTGCTGAGCTCTGGTGCCTGTGTTGGTGCTGATTGCCTAATGAAACTTCTTGGAAACTACTGCAGAAACCTAGACATTAAGACTGCCATAACAGTAGGAGTTGTAGGTAAAATATCTGATAAACCACTAACATGAAAGAAGAGTTCCCTATAATGGTATATCAAAACAGGATACTGTACATATTGTATGTGACTTGATGCACAGGGCTGAAGGGGTATATTGAGCGTTTACATTGCTGCAGTGTTTATAAAATACTCAATGGCCTTCAGGAACCAAGAATGATACTCTATATGTTACAGAATTCAGTTCTTTTTCCCTCATTCCATCCTGATATTGATGGCTCTCACAGCTTGCTGCTGACGGTCTTGATACTTTGTAAAAAGAAACGAGACCACACTGGCTTAATGAAGCAAGTATCAACAGTTTATTAAAGTTAAAATTACTCACGATCCAAGTACATTTGCATGTTTGTTCACCTAGATCAGTGGTGGGCAACTTTTTTTTCAACTGAGCCAAATCTCGCCAAAACCACGATTGAAATTTATTTTGAAAGCCACATTTTTAAAACTGAAAATACATCCCCCATATAGTAATTCATCCCCCATAGTAATTCATCCCCCATATAGTAATTCATCCCCCATAGTAATTCATCCCCCATATAGTAATTCATCCCCCATATAGTAATTCATCCCCCATAGTAATTCATCCCCCATATAGTAATTCATCCCCCATATAGTAATTCATCCCCCATATAGTAATTCATCCCCCATATAGTAATTAATCCCCCATATAGTAATTCATCCCCCATAGTAATTAATCCCCCATATAGTAATTCATCCCCCATATAGTAATTCATCCCCCTATAGTAATTCATTCCCCATATTGTGTCAATTCACTTACCTTTGCTCCGCGCGTTCCTCTCGCCGTGTTCCCGCGCCGTTCCGGTCTTCAGGGCGGACTGTGAGAGGAGAGGAGTTCGTCACGCTGCCCCGCCTACATCCTGACAGCCAATGCTTGCCACGCTCCGCGGGCCGGATTAAAAGGTCCGCCGGGCCATAGTTTGCCCATTGCTGGGCTAGCTGCAGAGTCCTGACTTTTGGGGCGGCCGCCCGAGAGGAGGGAGGGGAGCGGGCGCCCGGCACACAGAAGAACCGCATTAAAGTGTGTAAAGAGCCGCATGTGGCTCGCGAGCCGCGGCTTGCCGACCACTGACCTAGATGATCTCCGGCAAAGAAGTGTCAAACTGGCAATCATGGGAAATAAAAAGAAACAGCGCAGAAGCTCCTAGTGAGCTTGTTTTGTAACTCCTGTTGAACTGGGAAGTTGATGGTTTGTTTCTGCTCAGCCAGCTGGGAACAATAGACCTTCATAATGTTCACAGTCCTTGGATCTCCAGTAGAGCTTTAGGCCCCATTCAGACCTGTATGTTAGGTGTAATGCATTAAAAAATCTTGAAAGCTCCTTTTTTTTTTTTATGCTTTCATCAAAATGCATGTTTTATAGAGTTTAATGTTAACGTGCCTAAAATGCATGTAAAGCGTTCCCAAAACAAAGCAGAGATGCGAACTGGCCTTTAGCCTAGATTCACATATAGGCAGCTCTGCGAACTACAGTTGTGCAGGCACAGCAACCCATTCATTTGAATGGACTGCTGTGCCTCACGAAGTGCAGGGAAAAGGTCCCTGCACTATTTCTGGAATGACATCCCAAATGGGAATTGCAAGTGCAGTGCGGTTCCCAGTGCTGGAGTGATTTCCAGTGCTTACAGCATGCCATTAGGACTAATGGCACCCTCACGTATCCAGCATCTTTTTCTGTGCAGGTGCTGTGGGAACAGGTGCGGTCCTGCAGTGCCAATCACCCGCACCGATGTGAACCTATCCTTAGAACCTTCTAACATTGCCAGGATGACACTGGGGGGTGGATTTTGTAAAACTGGAACATCTAACTCCAGCTTGTTCAATTAAGCCTCTGCAATAAAATCTTGAGCCCTGATTCACACTGATGCGGTGCAGAATTTGCAGCGTTTTCTATGCGAATTCCATACTGCATCAGAATCGCAGCATGTTCATGCGAACTGCTGCGGGTATGTATGTTAACAACACCCCAAAAGTGGTCCGCAAAATGCGGTGCGATGTGCACAATCAGATCGCATAGGTGTGAATACCCATGCAATCCAATTCTAGTGAGGACCAAAAAAAGGGTCCTGCACCTTTTTGGTGCGGGTGCAGTGCGATTTAGAGCTGTACAAAATGTATGGCTTGAATCGCACCGCACACAAATCACATGTGATTTGCACAGGAATGCAGTGCGGTTCTTGTGCGAATCACATGCGATATACCGCAACACATATGTGAACCCAGGCTGAAACTGATTGGTTTCTATGCAGAACTGCACCTGATTTTGCACTCTTCAGTTTTAGTAAATAACCACCTATGGGGGAGATTTACTAAAACTGGAGCATTTAGAATTTGGTACAGCTATGCATGGTAACTAATCAGCTTCTAACTCCATCTTGTTCAATTAGGCGTTAACAATAAAACCTGGAAGGTGATTGGTTTCTTTGCAGAGCTGCACCAGATGTTGCATGCTGTAGTTTTAGTAAATAGCCCCCAATGGTTGATGTTTAGGTACAATTCTGATTTATTTCTTCACGAATCTTCTTTCAGCTGTCTGTCATGTGAGATGGATCACATTAAATTACATTTAAAAGAACTATAAAGGCAGCATTATCTTGTCATGTTGAGTTTCTTTGTGTTGTGAGCTCATTTGTAAAATACTGAGGATTAAACAGTACACTTGACTGCAGAAATCCAAGCAGCTAGAATGTCTAAGCCTAGGATCACACCTTTGCGTGTTGTGCGGGGCTGCTTTTTCAATGGGCACGGCAGCTCACTCCTTTGAAGGGGCTGCTGTGCCTTGCAAAACGCAAGGAAAAGGTCCATGCACCTTTCCAGAAATCGCAGCTTGCACAGGAATCGTACTACAGTGCAGTTTCAAGTGCGGGTGAGATTTCCAGTGCTGGTGGCGTGCTATAAAGATTAATGGCACTCGCCCGCAAGTCCCGCGGTTTGTGTGCGTGTGATTGCAGCTGCGGGGACGAAGTGCGGGTCCCGCAGCAACTTCCACCTGCACAAGTGTGAACCGAGCCTTACTGATCTAGCTATAATTCAATTAATTATTCATTAATTTAGGAAATAGAGGATGATCCACCTTTTGTTTCACTCTGTACTTAAAGTGGACTTTAAAAAGTGTAAAAAAAAATCAGTAGTGCAGGCGTTGTACTTGTGAATAAAATACTTTGTATGTGTTCACTTATGTTTCTCCTGGCACCGGTGCTAAAGTGCACAGGTCCAACTACAAATTGAAAAGAAATTAATGACTGGCCCTGTGGCCCTTCATATTGATGAGAGAATTTTATTTTTTATTTTTATTTATTTCAGGTACTTATATAGCGCCGTCAATTTACGCAGCGCTTTACATATATAATATACATTCACATCAGTCCCTAACCCTCAAGGGGCGTACAATCTAAGGTCCCTAACTCACATTCATATACAAGGGCCAATTTAGACAGGATCCAATTAACCTACCAGCAGGTCTTTGGAGTGTGGGAGGAAACCGGAGTACCCGGAGAAAACCCACGCAGGCACAGGCAAACTCCAGGCAGGAGGTGCCATGGCTGGGATTCAAACCAACGACATAGTACTGCCAGGCGGAAGTGCTAACCATTTAGCCACTGTGCTGCCCAGGATTCAGGAGCTAAAGGTAAATATTGGCACCAGAGGGTGCCTAGTGCAGGCTGGCCGGGAGTTTTAACATTTTGTTAAAGGAGTTTTGTTTAAAGTTAAAGTGTTAACCTTTACAGAAAACATTTAAACATCAACTAACACTGTACATCCTCCCCACCCCTGGTCCCCAAAATACTTCCCTCTGGGAATGCTGAGCTATAAAATCCCACACAGCTGGTGCAGTGTTCCAGAGCTTTGAAATCCCCACATGCCTCCCTCTTCTGTGTGCAGCACTTCCAGGACAGATTAGAGTGGATTTGCTTTGCAAGTACTGACCAACTGCAATCGGTTTGGTCAGTTCCGGATGCGCTGCATAGAGAAGAAACAGCAGAGTGGAGATTTCAATTTCCTGGACCGCTGCATCGGCTGTGTGGGCTCTGACAGCTAAGCATCCCCGGAGGTAAGTACAGTGGATAGTAGGGAGGTGTGGAGGCTTGAATGGGACATTGCTCCTGTTGTACAGATTTCTTCCACTGAAGTCTAAACCGTAATCGATGGCAAAATTACGCAAATGACAGACTTATAATGTTGTATGCATGTGGACATAGCCCAATTTGTGATTTGCTTTGCAGGTTTTCCAAATGTGGGAAAGAGCAGTTTAATCAACAGCTTGAAGAGGGCCCGTGCCTGTAATGTAGGAGCTACACCTGGGGTGACCAAGTGAGTAAAGTATCATCAAAACATTGTGTGGAACAGTAAGCCTGGGTTCACACTGGATCCAACTTTGAAATCGTGCGACTTCACTTGAAGTCACACAATTCCAATATCGGATATCAGTGGGATTTGGAAGACATCTGTGCGGTTTCATTCACAGATTTCAATTCAAGTAGCACCTGAAATCGCAAAAAGTAGTGCAGAAGCTACTTTCAAAATCTGTGCGACTCTGACTTTGTCTGAGTAACACCGATTTAGATCGGTTATATTGCCGATCACAGGGTGCGACTTGTCATGCAATTTGACACTGTCAATTCGCATGAAAAGTCGCATCGGATTGAACCAGGGCTAAGACCTCATTCACATATCCGAATAATGCTGGACAGTGGATTCCTGCAGCTGCAGTTGCAGATGTGTGGGAACCGTTCTCAGCCTGTACAAAGCAGTGACGGGTTGACAGGAACTACAGCTGCCCACCACTGTTTGCATGTCCACATCCAACTGTGTCTAGAACTGGTTATCTGTCCCTAGCTGCAGATACAGTTGCAAGAAAAAGTATGTGAACCCCTTGGGATTACGTGGAGTTTTGCATGAATTGGGCATAAAATGTGTTCTGAACGTCATCTAAGTCACAACAATAGAAGAACACAGTCTGCTGAACATAATACTACACAAACATTAGACATGGTTTAATTGCACATAACATGTAAACATTCACAGTGCAGGGAGGAAAAAGTATGTGAGGCCCTAGCTTAATGACTTCTCCCAGAGCTAATTGGAGTCAGGAGTGAGCCAACCTTGACTCCAATCAGTGTGAAGATATTGGATGTGTTGCTGACAGCTGTCCTGCCCTTAACAAACACACACCTGTTTTGGGTTTACTGGTTTCAAGAAGCACTGTCTGATGTGAACCATGCCTCGCAGAAAAGAGCTCTCAGAAGACCTACGATCAAGAATTGTTGCATGAAGCTGGAAAGGGTTACAAAAGTATCTCCAAAAGCCTTGATGTTCATGCGTCCACGGTAAGACAGACTGTCTACAAATGGAGAAAGTTTAGCACTGTTGCTACTCTCCCTAGGCGTGGTCGTCCTGTAAAAATGACTGCAAGAGCACAGCGCAGAATGCTGCATGAGGTAAAGAAGAATCCCAGAGTGTCAGCTAAAGACCCACAGAAATCTCTGGCACATGCTAACATTTTTGTTGACACATCTACAATAAGGAAAACATTAAACAAGAATGGAGTACATGGGAGGACACCACGGAGGAAGCCATTGCTGTCCAAAAAGAATATTGCAGCACGTTTGAAGTTTGCAAAAGAGCACCTGGATGTTCCACAGCACTACTGGCAAAATATACTGTGGACAGATGAAACCAAGATTGAGTTGTTTGGGAAGAACACACAACACTATGTGTGGAGAAAAAAAGGCACAGCACACCAACATCAAAACCTCATCCCCACTGTAAAACATGGCGGAGGGAGCATCATGGTTTGGGGCTGCTTTGCTAAGGTTCACATACTTTTTCCTCCCTGCACTGTGAATGTTTACATGTTATATGCAATTAAACCATGGCAACATCTAATGTTTGTGTAGTATTATGTTCAGCAGACTGTGTTCTTCTATTGTTGTGACTTAGATGACGTTCAGAGCACATTATATGCCCAATTCATGCAAAACTCCACGTAATCCCAAGGGGTTCACATACTTTTTCTTGCAACTGTAACTCCTGGAAGGTTGGATACATGCAGATAGATGTGGCTCCCATCAGCCTGTCGTTGCATTGTACAGGCTGAGCGGGCACAGCTGTCCTCACCTGTGATTCTAGCAGCAGGAATCTGCTGTCCGTTCCTCAGTGAACATGTGAATGGCCTAAACAGACCAGCAATAATTTGTGTTATATTATGATTGTGTTTTACACTCAGATGCCTACAAGAAGTCCATCTGGACAAACACATCAAACTTCTGGACTGTCCAGGTATTGTTATGGCAACATCCACATCCGATGCCGCTATGATCCTGCGGAACTGTGTAAAAATCGAGCAGCTTGTGGACCCTGTGGGACCAGTGGAAGCCATTTTGAGACGTTGCAATAAAGAACAGGTAATAGGAAGAAAGGCCAGTGTATAGATAAGTGCAGATAAATCTGAAAAGTAGCTAGTAAGAGTTTGCAAGAGGCTTAGTCTACACACAGTCATTTTTCCTTCAACACGTCTGCTTTTTTTCCCCCATCTTTATATTCAAATATTTATATTGAAACTTTTCCAACAAACATGTTATCACATACCGAAAAGAAGATAAGAACTGGGCGGCATATACAGTGAAATGCATCAGCAGGAAAAAAAACACATTTTAGAAAAAATAAGTCCCCACCATTTGGCTGGGGATGATATAACAAGGCCACGGATATATGAGAGGTATACTCAGTTCCTTATGAACCTCCTATGGTTGGAAGTGTGATAACCAGTGGAGGAAGGGAGGAGGGGGTGAGGGGGAAGGGAGGCACCAGTCGGATGAATTGGCTATAGTATATTATTATGTTGTTATATATGTCACTTGACGGAGCAGTTAGGGTTTTGAAGCCACCAAGACCACTGAAATCGGAATTTGTGGTATGAAAAATTCTAAGTTGCTGTTCTCTTCTCCATTTCACAATGGAGTGTTGCAAGCGAGGGGGTATTTCCCCCATCTTTAAAGTGTACCTCTGTTCATAAGCAAAACCACATTCATATAACTGTCCATGGGGAACGAAAATGTTTAAGATCCAACAACAAAAAATTATCTTGAACCTCCTCTCATCCGCCATATAAGGAAATAACGGACAGGCGGTGGTTCTCTAGTTGTGGGAGGACGTCATATGACAGGGGTGCGCAGCGCGGCAATGGTGCGCTGTGTCCCTGGGACACAGTAGATCACCGGTCAGTGGAAAAGAGTCGATGACACTGGCTTTGTCATGTGATCAGCTGTGTTCAATCACAGCTGATCGCATGTAAATAAGGAAATGCCGATTATCGGCATTCCTCAACTCACGAGCTGTCACGCTGACAGCTCGTGAGGAGAGGAGTGCTGGTAATCGGCATTCCTCAGAGGGGACATCTACACTGATCATCAGGGCACTGATGATCAGTGTAGCCCTATCAGAGCCACCTGACAGTGTCCATCAATGTGACCTGTCAGTGCCTACCAGTGGACATCAATACCACATATCAGTGCCCATCTGAGTTGCCTTTCAGGGCCAACTATTAGTGCTGCCTATGGGTTCCAGTCAGTGCCGCCTATCAGTGCTGCCTGTCGGTGCCATATATGAGTACTGCCTTTCAGTGCCCATCAGTGATGTCTGTCAGTGCCTCCTCATCAGTGCCGCCTATCAGTGCCCATCACTGCAGCCTCATTAGTGCACATCAGTGAAGGAGAAAAATGACTCATTTACAATTTGTAACAGAAACTAAGAAAAAAACTTTTTTTTTTCCAAAATTTTCAGTTTCTGGTTTGTTTAGCAAAAAATAAAAAACCCAGAGGTGATTAAATACCACCAAAAAAAAGCGGGTATGCCATTCCTTCAGAGCGCTTGCACCAGTGATGTCACCGGCTGCAGCTCTGAGAATCACGTTTAGGAGATATTCATGTTACCTACAGGTAAGATTTATTATAAGCTCACCTGTAGGTAAAAATATAAATGAGTTTACCACCACTTTAAAGGGTAATTCCACTTTTGTGGGGAAAAAAAATTAGCAAATAAAAAAATAATATAGTGTATACAATTAGGACGCAGGTCATATTGTAGTTGAATGTTATTAAAAATTGTCTTTCCTTTTCAATCTTCAGTTCAATAAAATGCAATATGGCTACCTGAAAATGTTCTGTACACAGATGGTGTACAGAATGTCCTCCAGAAATGTCATTTCCTACCTGTGTGATTGGCTCACTGATTTTCCCAGATGTTTGCACTAAGCAAATCTTAGTTCATCTTCACCATTCACCTTCTCCCAGGGGGACACTTCAAAGGACAACTTCACTCAAATAGTTTCTACTATGACAATCCTTTTCCTTTATTTGGGGGTCGATGCGGCCTGCAGCCGAATGTATGTAGTCTGCTTGCCTACAGCAGTCCATTTCATCAGTGCAGAATGGGAGGTTGATGGAAAACGAGATTGTTGCCTATAAGAATGAGTAATATTTGAAAATTTTCTTTCTCATCCAGATTATGCAGCACTACAAGGTGACCGACTTCAGGGACACGTTGGAATTCCTGGCCATGCTTGCTAAGCGACAGGGGAAATTGAAGAAAGGAGGCATGCCAGACCATGAAAAAGCAGCTAAATCTGTTCTAACAGACTGGGTTAGGTGATTAAGTCCTTTTTTTATTTTCACTTTTCAATACCTTTTTTTGAAGTTTTAACAGCATACAGGATGTATCACATACAAATATAGGATCAAAACAATGCGTCAATGAATACCAAATTGTGGTCAACAAAATGTGTAACAGTAATGGAAAACAATAAGTATTCTGGATTATAAATTAATACTGGGCAGCTTAGTGGCTGAATGGTTAGCATTTCCGCTTGGCAGTACTCGGGTCGTTGGTTCGAATCCCAGCCAGTTTGCATGTTCTCCCTGTGCTTGCGTGGGTTTCCTCTGGGATAACAAAATGTGTAGCAGTAACCATTGGATCCTGTCAAAATTGGCCCTAGTATGTGTATGTATGAATATGAGTTAGGGACCTTAGATTGTACACCCCTTGAGGGTTGGAGACTGATGTGAATGTAAAGCGCTGCGTAAATTGATGGCGCTATAAAAGTACCTGAAATAAATAAAATATTACAGTGAAGCATTGCACATTATAGCGTGGACCGAGCTCTGACTGGACCATGATGCATTCTCAGAATCTGTACGGATGACAGGGCTACCTTACCAAACAGCAGAAAAATATGCTCAAAGGCCTCTGTAGTAGGAGGGCCAGGGAAAAGGTAAGAAGCAAAAGAAAAGAGAAGAGACGGACATCAGGAACCCAAGATTCAGGACCTTATAAAGATGTATACCTTGTGAACGTAGTGGGGTGAGCATATTGTATCCACAGGGTCCAAGTCTGTAGAAATTTTCCATATGTATCAAGGAGGATAATAAAAATAAATTAATAAAAATGGTGTCTATGTGGCGGCAGACTTCTGTAAGAAGGACAAACTGCTGTTTGACTCCTTCTCTGGTCTGTTTCACCACCAGTAAGATGTATGTTGCTCATTTAAATTGGGACTTGTGAGGTCCAGGGCTTTAAATGTAATAAGACATACTAGGGGTCTCTAGGAAGTGGACAAGTTTGTAAGAATTGTAGAAGCTTAAGCTCTTGTCCAACACCTACAGAGCATAGGGCACAGCCACCATGCATTGAGGACATGCCCTGGGACAGAGCACCGGCAAAAACAATTACTGGAGGAGGATGGGTAGAAGTGTGCTGAGCGAAATGGGACCATATACCACTGTCAGTAACCTGGCTATGACCAGAGATGTGTGGACTGACATAGGGAACACCAGGCTTCAGGAGTATTGAAAATAATACCATTTATTTGTGAGACACAGTAACAACGCACAGTGCAACAACAACAACAACTCAATAACAACCCCTACACCCAATACAAACACGAACAACAACAAGAGGAGTCAGGCCAGCCGGGGTCATACACGGGACACAGAGCAGGTAACAGAGGCTCAAGGAAAACACCAAGGCACTGATCGCAGGCCTGGTTGCTGTTTAAATACACCTCCTGCAATCAGCCTCAGGTGATAGCTTGATTGCAGGAGGTGAGATCCTGGCTGCTGAACGGCACTCTCTGGTAGGGACTGGTACTGCAGCCCACAGAGCAGGTGAGCCACAGCACCACCAGCGGTGAGCCCTTTCCTGACAACCACCTTGCAACAGTCTTAAAAGACAATTCGAATGTGAGAACATTAATGGAGCTGGAGGCTATGGTCAACCAGATTTCGGACCAGTCTTCCCTGCACTTCTTGCATTTAAGATCCTCCCTGCTCTAATACAGTATAATCAAGCAACTGGTCATCAGATTGCACAGCTGGTCATCAGATTGCACAACTGGTCATCAGATTGCACAACTGGTCATCTGCAGCACCCAGAGGCGACTGGCATTTCATCTGTGAATATATAGATGTTAAGCTTCCCTCATTTGTAATGTCTTAAAATGTCTTTCTTGTACTTTCTATAGTGGTAAAATCAGTTATTTTACGCATCCACCAGAAACACACACGCTTCCCACACACATCAGCGCAGAGATTGTAACAGAAATGGGGAAGGCCTTTGACTTTGAAGCACTGGAGATGGATAATCATGAGTCTTTGTCAAGTAAGTAAAGGCAAGAATAGGTGTTAATGGCTACATAAAACAGAGGATAGCCTGCTTAGAAGTAATACATCCAATAAATGATTTAGCATACAAAATTATCAGAGCAACTACTAATATAAACATTTTTCCTAAACATTTCTTTTATTTTTGGTGGGAATTTTGTTAAAGTTTAACTTGCTGTTTGCAGTTTTATCTGTCAAATGATTTGAAATTCTATTCAGCCTACCTTGTAATACATGTACATCTGCTGCACTGCCAACTATACAGGAAACAGGGCACCAAACCAATGGTCTGAGAGTCCAAAGCAATGTTTTATTTAACCACTTCCAGTCCGGACACTTTCACCCCCTTCCTGTCTAAGCCAATTTTCAGCTTTCAGCGCTGTCACGCTTTGAATGACAATTGCGCAGTCATGCAACACTGTACCCATATGAATTTTTTAGCATTTTTCTGAGACAGATACAACTTTATTTTGGTGGTATTTATTCACCACTGGGATTTTTATTTTTTTTTGCTATATAAATGAAAAAGTCCAAAAATTTTGAAAAAAGTATTATTCTAAAATTTTGCAAATAAATAATCTTTCTTCATAAATCTTGGCCAAAATGTATTCAGTTATCTTTTTAGTAAAAAAAAAATAACCCAAATTAGTTTATAACCAAAAAATTATTATAATTTTTTAAAAATTAATTTATTAAAATGCATTATTTTTTTTTTTTACATACTGTCACCCAACAGTACAGTGTCACCATAGTGACACTGTACTACTTGTGGGGGGTGATGAAGATTTTTTTTTTTACACCGATTGCTTTTACATCCATAAAGGCTGTAAGAGCAATACTTTCTCTTTCTCTCTGGCTGCATTCTTGCAGCCATTGAGAAATACTGTGAGTTCTGTGGTTGGTCACGGCTTGTCACATGGTACAAGGCTGTTGTGAAGAGCCTTGTACCATGTGATCTCTGTGATCATTCACAGATTTCACACGTAGTAAGCAATGATGTCAGAAGTGACATCTTCCTTACTACTATTCATGTGATTGGCCAATCAGTGATCACATGATCGGGGCCTCACACAGAGGTCCCGTACAGCGATTGGGGTGCCGCGCACTCCCCAGGGAGCGTGCACAGGCTAAAATGGCGGGCGCCATTTATGAACGGCAACCCGCTCCTGCCCTGCATTTATATACATGGGCCAGACGGGAAGTGGTTAATGATCAGTAGAAAGAAAGGCAATGTTTTCTGGAGCTCAGGCCGTCCCACTTCATCAGGGCTTGTGTATTGTATAACGTGACATGTGGCTCCTCACCATAGGAGAGCTCTGACACTAAGGCTCCATGCACACTAGTGTCTTTTTTAAGCTAAAATGCTAAAAAAATGCTGGTAATTGCGGTTTTTAGTAGCGTTTTTTTTAAAAGAATGTGTTTTATTATCTTTTTTACAGTACATGTAGAAAAAAGATGTTAGAAGTGTTTTAGTAGCATTTAGGAGTGTTTAGTGTTTTGTTTTTTAAAAAACGCTCCAAAAAACCTCTACAAAAACATTTTCTTTTTTTTTTTTTTTTTTTGCTTCTAGATGCTGAAGCTCAAAAAATGCTAACAGCCTAAAGTAGTGTGCATGGACACATAGAATAACACTATCTAGTAGAAAAAATGCTACTAACAGCTTCTAGGAGCTTAAAAAAAAACAATTGTGTGCATGGAGCTTTAATAAGCAGGGGGCACGTCAGTCGTTTGTAAAAAAAAAGATGACTACTTCCCCAAAGGATCTTACTGTATTATGTTGGCAGGGGACAGGCTTCTCTACTTGCAGGCTGTAGCTGCATAAATAAAAATTAACTGTAAGGTTTTGCACTCTCTTTTGTTTTGATACACCTAGAATGTATTTGGCGGACTTAAACTGAAAATTTAATTGGGTTTTTTACTTCAGCGGGAACACTGTAGTCCAGCTGTTCTCTTTACAACTACAGATAATGCATCATTTCAGAAAATCCTAATAACCAGTCTGCTCTGACGATGAATAATTTTGTTTTGATTGTGTGTATGAAGAAATCCAGTCGGCTCCTCAGGGCATAGCTATGGAGGCTTCAGACCTGACTACTGGAGCCGGACAGGAAGTAGAGGATGTTGAGGTGGAAGATTCAAATGAAGAAACAGACACAGTAGCTGATGCAATGGAAGAGGACAGGGATACCGAGGTAAGAACAATACCAGTTTGATGTCAGAAATCGTTTGCAATTTTCTGTTACAATAGAGAAGTCTTAGATGTTAAAAAAAACACAAACCTTTACACTAGTCCTAGATGTTAACAGATGAGAATCACACTTCCAGTTCTTGTGTGTAAAGTCCTTTACCAACAGCCCTGCAACAGGACCTTGGATAGTGCTCATCAATTAACAAGTTCAATTTCATGTTAACAGGTTTATTTGTTTAAAACTGGCAGTGGACGGTTTGAATCTCGGCTTGTTCGGCGGGGCCGGGAGAGATTCGAACCGTGTATGGGTAGGCTGAATGTTACCAAGTTGATCGATCAACTTGGGTACAATTGGCCTGTTGGATATTACATGTGATTATTGCTAGCAGCTATTATAGTGGCTAGCAGTAATCACTGTATTCGCCAGGCGGGGGCTCCCCCTATACCCCGCCTGGAGAACACAATGGCTCTGTGGAAGGGATCCGAGTGCTTTTCTTTCTTGAAACCTGTGGCCATCTGTGGCCGGCTTAATGCACAGAGCAGTGTCCATGCCATGCTAATTTCATTAGGCTGCTTGTTACAATCTGTCACACACTTATGCCAGCCATACATGGAATTGGCCGAGATTCAATCCATGTATTGGCAGGCTGTTCGTACCCAAGTTGATCTGTTGATCTGTACAACCAGCCTGTCAGACTTTTTTTTTTTTTTTTTTTACATTTGATTACTGCCAGTGGCTAAAGCTGCCCAGGAATAATCATTGTGTTCTGCCAGCCTGGAAGGCTCTCGGCACCCCCCTCCCCACCAGCAGACTTCAATAGAACTTCATTCACAGTCAGTGTTGATGGGGGAATCGAGCGATTTTTTTTTTTTTTTTTTTTTTCCTTCCACCTGTGTGGGTTGAAGGATCTATGGCTTTCTCTCATTTCCAAGCAAATTACCATATGGAAATATTAGGCCATTTCTCGGAAGTTTCCCATCTGACTATTGGCCTAATACTGGCACATCTTCTCATGCAAAATCGATTTGTATTTACTGTCCTGTTATACAGACTGGCTTTATTATCCTTATTTACAAGTAAAACACATTACAACAATTATTTACCATACGTTATTAAAACAAAACATGTTTCAGACCTAGAGATATGAGAATTTACGGAAATATCTTCATTCATTCACATCTCTTGCCAGTAACTAATTATCATTGTTGTTGGTTTGCCTAGGGTGGTTCATTGGAAAACGAGGCTCCATGCACACTTGGCTTAAAGAAAATGGCAGTTACTTGGCAGAAAAAAATGCTGATATAGAGCGCTTTTGTACACGTTTAGGCGACTTTAGAAGAGTTTAGTGTTTTTTTTTCTGCCAGAAAGCTCCAATCAAAAACGCTATACAGAAGGTTTTTTTCCTGCCTCAAAACATTGAGCTTAAAACATGCCTCTAATTGTCCTAATGTGCATGGACACACAGGGTAACATTGAGCTGCTGAACTCCTGTAGAAGCAACGTTGTTTAGGCCAGTGTGCATGGAGCCTTAAAGTATTTGTAAAGATTCTTTTCTTTTAATTCAAATAACAATCATGTCATACTTCCCTGCTCTGTGTAATAGTTTTGCAAAGAGCAGCACCAAACCTCCTCTTCTTGGGTCCCCCACCAGCGCTCCTGGTTCCCCTCCTGCCAAGTGTCCCCATAGCAAGTGGCTTGCTATGGGGGCACTTGTGCGTACCCCGCCCCCCACTCTCTCCTCACTGGCTGTGATTGACAGTAGCAAGAGCCAGTGGCTCCTGCGGCTGTGTCTGAGCCAATGAGGATGGAAAGAGCTGGGAGAGCAGCTGCTGTCGTACACATCGCTGGATTGAGATCGGGTTCAGATGGATATTAGTGGGGGCTTGGGGGGGGGGGAGCTGCCCGAGGCCCGGGGTCAGTATGGTGCCCCATGAGATGCCCCTGGTACCTTTTCATAGGCTTTTTTGAGTTTGGGCAAGGACACAGGGGCCCCATGATCCCCTATTGCCCGGGGGCCCCATGAGTTGTCAGTCCGCCCCTGGTTTGTACAGATATACAGCTTGGTCATGCAAATGTATATTACGCTTTTTTTGTCTGAATCAAGGGCTATTCTGGAATTGTTTGACATGGCACAAAAATCAGCAAAAGGCACATATGTAACTATAAGGGGGATCATACATAAAACTGTTGCATATTAGATTGGAGGTGTTGGCTCTACTTACTGGCCCAATTCCAATCTAATGCATTTCAGGATTCCTTGTAGACACTTTCTTAACCTCTTGCCGCTCACATAACACATATGTGCGGTGGCAAAGAGGGTGGGTGTTAACACTCAAATGCTGCACATATATGTCTTTAGACTACTCCTGGTCTCTAGTAATGATCAGAAGCTGGAGAGACCAGCTCTCATCATGTGACCACTATGACTGTCACACAGTGGTCACATGATGCGGCAGTCCTTCCCATCCCCCCAGGTTTAAAGACCCAGTTAACGAGGATCTGTCACTTTGCACATTCAGAGTAAAATGACAGGTTCCCTTGAAAGCCTGACCACTATTACCTTCACTATGTTCCCCCGTTGCTCCATTCGTCTTTTATAGCCTTTGGAATTACCGGGTACTTCCTGTTCGGGGAGCATGTGACATTCTTCTCTTCCTCCCATGATATAGTGCTCAGGCCTGAGCAAGGAGAAGGTCACAAGCAACTCCATACTCAGAAGCATCAGGTGTTTCTAAGAACTCTAATAAACAATTAAAGTGGCAGGGAAACTTAGTGTGAGTGGGGAGGTGGCCTGTCAAGTGAACCTGTCATCCTGAC